CGACTATGTGCCCCATTTTTTTTATTGTGCAAAAAGTTAAGAAGTAGCGCTAAAGATATGTATAAATGCACGTGCAAACACATGTTAAACAGCCGCATATATCTTTATAACCAGTTATTTACAGTTGCGCAGTGATGCCAATAGCAACATGAATGTTAGCAGAAGCGGTAAGCTGATGAGAATCGCTGGTGCTCGCTCGCAAGGATGGTAGCCCTAGATATCATCATCATCAGCCCGACTAACTACGCCAACTTTTTCTTGTCGCTGTGACGAGCAAGAATTCTCGTCCCATTTTTGTTATTCAGCACCTACATGCACGCACAGATACATACATATACCACGTAGTCACAAAATAAGGAGGTGTTGGAGTGAAAGCTTTGTATGGAATGAGTGATCAAGACTGCATGCAATCTTACACACAAACCTGCTGATACTGTGCGAGGTCGAAAAAGAAAATGCTCTACATAGGCAACAGAAGGGAGTCACACCAGTAGCGCTCTGTACTTCAGAAAAATACGCATTTATTGTAGCTCTCGAGAAGCAGGTCACAATAATTCTTTGTACATGTGTCGGACAAGAAATGAATACAGGAAGAGTCAAACAGTATGCGGACTTGTTTTCAACATGTGCACCGCTTCACATACACACTAATGCTACACACAAGATGCCAGACTGATCACTGTGCATTTTGTTCAAATGGTATTGAAGGGCAAGCAACTGGTGGACAACCGATAGTGTGGTTGTGCTCGACATGAATTGCAGTAATCACTACATACTAGCTGCACCATAGAGCGATGAGGCTTTAAGTCGCCACTGTAAAATAACACACTTCTGTGTCATTTGTAAATTGCAAATTAACTATTAAGCTGTCAAATAGCGGTATTGCAAGGCTCAACTGTAAACTGCACTTAAAGCCCCACATCAATATGATCCTATTACTTCGGTACTGGGACCGAATGAAACCAAGACTAATTTAGCCAAGGAGAGCGCAGAGGACACTTTTGTTCTAAACCCCACCGATGGAAAAGACATTTTTTACCAACTTTAATTTATTTAAAATCCACACAATTACTACACTACCGCAATAAAATAATGTCTCCTATGCTTTTCTTGGCCTTTGTTGGTTGTGCCTAACAAACAAGCCACTGGGACAATTCTCCTTCTTTCAATGCAGTGAAAAATATTTGGCACCACATGCCTGAATGGTGATTATGACGTAAACATGAATTAGAACGTAGACTCGCTTATTCCCACCTACTCGATCTTTCATAAATATTAGATTTACAGACTTGTGCCCCTATGAACAATAAAATGGTGTAGCGTAGACCACACCACGCGCATCTCACCGAACGTATTTGTTAACATTGGTTGACACTGTTTATTGGTGTGCCTGATGCTTGATGCATAACTGCTACTTAAAGCATAATTTCATGACACTTACACAGATAAGCATAACGCCCATAAAATGCAAATAGTGAATGCAATGCGGTCAAAGATACACAAGTTGTCAGAAAGTGCTTGTCATTTATTGGACTTTGTTGTCACAATAGCTTATAATTGCACTTGAGAAGTCCAATAAAACTTCTTGCACATAAGAGTGTGTGCTACGGTTTCAGCTACAAAATGTAGTTATGTGAACATCAGATGTTCTGAGCTTTTTTTCTCTTGGCATACACTAGAAAATGCAACTGCTCACAGTCAAGTTTACCGTGTTGTCACGATCTTGCTATTATTGACACACGATCCACCAGCTCTTACAGCATTTTTTTTACATGCATGAAGGAACAGTACTTATTTAGCAAAAATGCAGATCACAACTCTGATGGTGTAAGGCATGCCACTAGGCAAGATTTGCAGCTGCCAGCTGTAGTGGCAGTGACCTGCAAAATTTTGGGCACAAACCTTCACATTTTTCTCCCAGTGTGAAATGGGTTCATAATTCATCAAGGTTTACAAAACATTTTATGGACAGCACATTTATTTCCACAGGTTCAAAACACATGTGCAAGCATAGTTTTCTTGGTATCGCCTTTCACATTTCAAGGATGAAAAGTCACCGAAAAGACCGTGGCAGTGTCCCAGGCAAAACGGTTAACAAAAACTGGAATTGGCAGAAGGCAAGCTATTACTGCTTCATCAAAGAGAACGATGTACAAAATATATAAAGATGATCTGACAGTATGGGATCTGCCATGAGCAGAAAGGACTAGAGTGTGCGGTGACATATACACTAGTGAATAAAACAAACATGATAAACCAGTTTCATAAATACAACAGTAAAAAAAGGTTCCCTCATTTTTTAATAGTGGCAAACCAAGGAATTCTTCACAGAATACTCGAAGAAAAAAAAGCTTGGCATAGAGTTAGTAGCGTTCTAGTGGCTTGCAGGCCGCCCACAAAACACATCTCGCACTTAGAAAAATGCATTTTCAGCAATTTTTTTTTTTGACGTTAGTAATAGAAGACGGTGACTGCTCAATGTTTCTCGTAAGAAAGCGGCCCTTCGTGCCCCTCGTCGTTAGAGCTCCGCAATTAACATCATACGGTGCTTACAGCAAGTCCACAATATCCAAATCTACAGAGCACGATTGGCTTAAAGCAATTTAGGCACGGATCACCCGAAAGGTCAATTTCTTTAGGTTTTAAAGCAATTGCTCCTTACATCGCCCGAAAAAAGTAAAATATTAGCTACACCTTCAGGCTCTGCTTACATATTGTCGAGCAAATGCTTGAATTTTCATAGAAGTTTTTTTAAGTAGTGTATTGTTCTTGTATAATGATTTCCTTTAGGAGTACATTTTGCTCAGCTTTTGGCTACCCAAACAAAAACCTGTATGCACCTGTGAGCTTCTCAAACGAAGTTAGACTGTACGTTGATTGCACTGCATTGTCCACGTCAGGAAATTGCACATGTGACAAAAGAAACAGGGCAGGTTTTTTGGCTGATCCATGCATACTTGTGAGCGAACATAAGCCGAATGAGCTACTGATTCAAATCTACGCAAAGATATTGTATACACACATACATGGAACTACAAGCTACTGACGTTTATTGGGTACATACGCATTACCGTGCACCTTGCAAGGCCATTCCAGTAATATCCAGCACAACATGCAACACATAGTTGCAACAAATTCAAGAACTTCACAAGGAACGGCTGTAGCCTCTCTTCAGAGAATGTCCCCCTTTCTACTACTTCACTGCCTTTGCACAAAGCACCTTGATTGGCAGTTTTGCGAAGTTGCACAGCACCTGGCACCTCTGTTGAATGCTCATAGAATATACATATTATTTTCAATGGCTCAGCTATGCTTTGTACTTCATTCTTTGAATTGCAAACACGCATGCAATCATCACAGCACAGGACACTAACATTTGTTCGTTATACTAGTCAAGATACATTCGCAACGTCAATTGTAACTGAATAAAGTTTGTGGCAGGAACATTTATTTAAGGGAGGTAAGTAGCACAGATGTCTCGATTTGTAGGGGCAGAAATACCACACATATTTTCTTAGTGTCGACGTTAGACTGAAATTTGGCTCTAGCGCACTTAATGTACCTAAATGCCAGTGACTCTAGTAAATATAAACGCGAGCATCAGATTGTTGCGTAGTTCACAAAAGTTTGTTCCTTCATCCTTTAAAATGCATTATTGGCCAATCATTATTATTTATTACACTTCAGCTGGTTGGATCTGAAGAAGTTCAGAACATTTAGGAGCAAAAGAAGTGTTGGAATTCGAAACCAGAATTACGATAAGTTCTGGTTCCAAATATCCTCACATTTCATTAATGCATACAATAACATGACAAAAAGAGTATATTATTTACCCAGTATCTAAGTGCTCTTTAATAATCACAAAGTCACATTTCTCCTTAGTAACATAGCACAGGCCGACAGACAGACTACAGATACTTACTGGCTTCAGCACCATAATTTGCAAAGTACTGTTTTAATCCTCACATGCCTTTATGATTATTTATGAAAGGGGAGGATTTTTATAATGACGTGACATAATGAGTAAGGTGTATAAGTAATCCACTAATGAACAAGAGAAGCTTAATATGTGGCTATGTTAGTATGTTGCACTGTCACAAACATTTTCCGAGCATGAAAACTAAAATTTCTGTTTATGTACACAACAAGTTGCATGGTTCCACTACAGTTACTCATGAGAAAGGCTAAAAATGTCTAACTGTAACTTGCATTAAATTACACAGCAATAGTCAAATCTGACGCACACAACATGCTAAGCATTCAGACACAACGACAGCTACAATTTACCCTGAATTCAAGATATGCTCTTGCAGCCTCTGCATTCACCAAGAATCTGAAGCCTTGAAGACACAATCGGATTTTTTTAAGGGAAGCTGGACAACCTTAAAAATAACATGTGCCCCCCCCCCCCCCCTCCCATAGCACCTAAATGATTTTTAGTCTGTATTTACGCATTTGCATTTTGTACAAATCTTTGAAAACATATAGAAACAAGACTAAGGCTTGAAACTGCCTTTCCTTAGGTGTGCACTCATTATCACTATGTGTAGGCCAAATACAAACAGTAACATGCTGAGGATTAACATGACTTTGCTGGCAAAGGGTGATGTGGGCTTCAAATCTTTCACATACTTTAAGCACAGCAATACATCTGAGTAAAGGTAAAGGGTATACTGTAGCAAAACTATTAGACTAAGCTAGACCAACATGCTGTCTTCAACAGTATTTAGGTTACTCCAACTTCCCTTAGTTGCCATGCCACACAAGTGATGGCTATGCACTGGGCTTTGTGGGGACCCACAAGCCGTTATTACATCTCACAGGAATACAGGGTAGCATTGCACCATTATATACTTCCTGCACGCTTTGACACACTCGCACAGCAGGCAGGAAATGTACCTGTTCATATAAAAAAAATACTCGGCACATTTAGTAACTAAAAAAAAAACAATCCCACCTGTGCGGTGCAGAGAGAATTGGTGATGAAACAAAAGATCACATTGATGTTGAAGACTTTATCATAGTGTTTTTCAAAATGAGCAAAAATGCCTAATTTGTAGAAACTGATGACATAATCACATCAATTAATATGTCTATCAACAATACGAATGCAGAATTTCAAGGTCAACTGAAGAAACAACCGATGCAAAGCTTTTTTTAAAATGTAAGGCCACGGCAAATTTGACATTGGTGTGCTAATGAGACAAGGCAGCTAACAACAGCACATTTCCCACCTCACTGGAATGTGAATAAATTATGTTGTATGAAGATAACGTTGCAGGCACACACACACACACACACGAATTTTTAAAAATTATGGACTCACAAAAGCAGTCAATAAAATCTGAGAAACAGAAACTTGCCTAAGGACAACAAATATGTTATATAGATTAGGCATACCATTGCAATCACACAAGGCAGACAATAGGACCCACAAAGCAGCGACCTGCAATGAATTCAGGATTGAATTTTTTTTTTACATAAGTACATAAAGACACGACTGGATAAAATCTATCGTGAAAGCCTGTAGAACAAATCTATAAAATAGTCAGCACATAATAGAATTCATGCTTTCAAATCACCACTGCGAACTTTTTATATTGGACACATCAGAGAATTTGAAAAAAGGAGCTTCCAAAGACATAACACGATTTCTGTGCTAATGCTATGTTTGGAATGCTGTGGACGAACAGGTTTAGCATAGTGGAGACAATCCAGCGCAGAAGTAAAAACAATATACCGGGTTACACAGGAACGTCACGTCATGCTTGATTAATGAAGGCATGCATAATTTCGATTGCAACGATTAGCTGCACCCCTGCAATAAGCAGGCATACTATGAACAACCGTAATGAAGGTATTATGGCAGGCTTCGTCATACAAAAATAAATCATGCAACCGAAGAACGCTTTCAACGTGTTCTCTTAACAAAGTGACAACAGAAGTCAGCACTATATCTAATGTTGTTGGATATGTGGATTCGTATTGCAGTAAACGACTCCGTTGAACAGGCTCTGTTACGCTGATCTGTATATGGCAAAAGTTGATACTTGGCAGGAAAAAATAAATGGCACAAAATAATGGTGTACTCAGAACAGCCTAAATGCCTTTCCCAAGAGACTTTGTTCCTCAGAGGAAATATTAATTGGAGCACAAGCATATTGACTCTGATTTCATGACGGCAGGAAAAGACACTGTCCCAAATGTCGGAGACCTGACACGTCGGGTCACTGACAGGCGACTGCTGTCAGTGACAGCAACATCAAAGCGACATTTTCTGCGCTTTCGATAGGTCAGTGTACCGAATCACAAATTCTAACACCAAATCACAAATAATACTTTTTTGGTGAGGCACTGTGAATAGTTAACGAGATCACTGTACACTGGTTATATGCACATTGTTATGTGCACACATGAATGGGCACACTTACGATTCTATGCAAATTCTGCATTCTGGGTCATGCCCAAGTGAACGTGGCCAAGTTATCTCTAACCGTGCAGTAAACAATGAAAGTATGCCAGGATCAGAAATCTATTAAAATAATTTGCAGTATTAACGACGGTTGAACAAAAAAGCTTTTACTGGAAATCCTCACAAAAGTACAATCGTCCTCGCGCAAGCCTGTGACAGTGATGTGAAAGTGTTGTGAAACTGATGATGTGAAAGTGATGTGAATGTGAAACTGTGAAAGTGATGGCATCTTACCACACAGTGTGACAGTTTGTGAATTTCAGTAACGCCTTTCTAAATTACTGCCGTCAGAAGAAGTGCATCTACAAACTATAAACCCCTTCCACTTCCAAACCATAGTGACGTAGGAATGAACAAAACGTAGCAAATATGAGTACGCCAAATGAAAGCGTAGTTAATATAACAGACTAGAGCAATTTGCGGAATGTAGCGAAGATGCTGCGGATTGCAGAAGACGGCTAAAAAAATTTTTTTTCACAGTCACAATCATGAGAAATTTATAAAAAGAGGTTAGAAAAGTTTTTAAAACAGGGTGGCATCACGTCCTCAGGAACAAATAAAGTTATTCAGTGAGAGAGTAAATTGTTGACAAATCTCAGGACAAACTGATAAGATCAGTAGCAAATTCAGATTAATATACCTTTTCCTCCTTAGTTTATTGGATAAGTTTTTCAAGGCTCGAAGTAAAAGGTGCGCAGTGTAAGTATTATGAAACGTAAAAAAAAATACCAGTATCATCCGAAATTTCTGCATCCAGTGAAATATTAAAAACTAGATTGCCATATAAAATGACAACGGGCAATGCTCGTCCTCAACAATGATCTTGCCTGGATTACACAAGCCTATGCAATTACGCTTTCTGGATGAATCAATGCTCATGGCCTATTTTTTTGAAACAGGCAAGCTTTAAAGCACAGAATTGATAATGATCAAATGATTCACGAATAAAGTAGACACTGGCTGCCTCTGACCACGAGCCAATAAGCGGGAATGAGTGAACTGCCAGATGCACTCGTGATACCGCGACAAAAAAAAAAAGGCATATACACTTAAGTGCCATATCAGTTAAGTTCTGTGCTTGCTTCTCAAAGGTTTACGATAAATTCCCTCCCTAAGCTATACAGGCATTCTTGATGAGGATTTTGGAGTCCTTCTGCATAGGGTTGCTTTTTTTAAAGCTGAAGCCCTGTCTAAGGAGAGTGCAGTGAATTTAAAACATGGTAATACACTCAAACCTCGTTATAATGAAGCTGCATCTTATATAATATAAGTTTGTGATATCCAGACATCCGTTATAAATATATATTAACACTATATCTAATGCAAGACTATTCTTCATTTGATTTGTTATAACCAATATTACATTATATCTGGGTTCGTAATATCGAGATTTGAGTGTACTATTTAGTGGTATTTAATTGGTTCATCCATGGATCGGAAATTGCTGTTGTACTTTTAAACCAAGTCCTTGAGAAAATAAGTAAACTCAGAATGGTGCCTTGGTGTTGCCAGCAACGCCTCCAGATATTTCACCATTACTATGCTTCTTTTATATTATTTGCAGATGACAAGTACTAGTGAAAAACACATTATGCTATGTACAGGAGAGACCTATAGACACTCTCTACACACAATATTTCAGCAGTCGACAACAAAATAATGTGTTGATTTGCCGGCACCACTATGAAATGCATTTATAGGTGTCTAATGTCTCAAGACCTTATATTGATAATGATTGACAGGGTCGATGACAATGAATGTGTGATGTCACGACCTCCATTATTGCACAAGAGTGAACACCCGCCTTAAACATACTCGCATGCATAACCAGCTAAAAAAAAGGAACTGAGAGTATGTGCTGCAAATGCCCCTCGCAACACGTCATTACGATGAAAAAGAACAGCAAATGATGCACTTAACCCTGTTTTGATTATAATGTGTAAATAAAAGCACAGACACTGCAGTTCCTGCAGGCATAATTACTAAAAGCTTCTTAAACGCAACTCACAGCAACAATGCCAACCACATAAGCAACATCTCAACATATCTTATAACTCAATCTCTCTGTTTAACACAGACCACAACGTACAAAAGACTGTTTACAGCTTGGAGCAACACACGTGCGCTGAGCACCTGCAAAGCAAAACTATTTGCAACAACCCTCTCTGCACAAATAGGTACACACAATCACGTAAACCTTCACGAAAGGAAGTTTCATAAAATGTTTTAAGAAGCCGACAAAACTTCCCACCGGCAATGTGTGCAGCACTCGCACACATTTGATTCAAAACGCGCGCAAGATGGGGTAAGAATGCCATTGCACTAAAGAAGAGTTAAAAACCTCATGACAGCCAAAGTCTCAAAAGATATACTCCCGTTCTTTGTGCTCCGATGAACGGCCCGCTGAGTTGCGTGCCCAACTGATGGGAATTGGTTCGTTGTCTGTGACAAGCTCAAGGCTTGTGTCCGTGGATCCCCTGATGACTTCATACAGCGCCGCATCTCCATTCGTGTTGTTTGCAGGCTCACTGTCTCTGTCATCGAGGTTCGCATTGAGGCTGTACGTGCTGGTTGCACGCTCTGCCGTTTCCACGCTGGTCGTGAGATTACTGTCGCTGCACCTCCAAATTCTTGCCTGCACACCGAGACACCTGCTCGTAGATGACGCCGGCCTGCCAACGGATCTATCGTCGGCTCCGTCCCTGTGCCTGACCCTTTCGTAGCCCGGCTCTTCCGAGCTGCTGTCTTCAGCACCACGCTCCGATGTGGAGCTGTCGTCCGACGCCTGCTTCCAAACGGGACTGGGTACCGGCGATTCTGTACTGCTTCCGGTTCCTTTCATTAGGCTGTAGCCAAGCTTTCGAACTATGTTGTCTTGGACGCTCTCGTATGTCTCGTCGCTCGATCCATTATTGTCTTGCTTTGCGGTGCCAGCGGTGACCGCGGCTGGGCGAGCGCCTGCTTTCTTGTAGCTGAAGTCACCACCCTTGCTGCGACCGCGCCACGACCGATCGCCACTGCCCCTATCCCTGATCCTCTCATACCCGGGATCGCTGTCTGCTTGGCTGCACGCGTCGCTGTGACTCCTGTGGATACGCTCGTAGCCGGGGTCGCTCGTGTCGTCCTCTCCTCTTCTGCAAATCTGTTCATATCCCGGGTCGCTTCCTTCATCATCGGCGAGACCTCGGCGACCCTTTATCCTCTCATAGCCGTAGTCTGCCGTGGAGCCACTGTCCTGTTGAGTCAGTCCGCGACTGCTAGTAGCCACTTCATCTTCGCAGACGGCGGATGCTTTGTCACTCTTCCTAATCTGCTCATAATGAGGGTCAGTAGCCCCCTCCGAATACTCCGTCGCGACGTCCTTGCGGAGCGTCTCGTAGTCGGGTTCCTTGTCGAACCTCTTGGCTACCTTCTCGTAGCCCGAGTCCGAGATGCCGTCACTTCCATGCCCTCCAGTCACTCTCTCATAGCAAGGATCTGTATCGCTGGAATCCTGGTGGTAAACCCTTTCGTACGCGGGATCCGCATATTCTTCTGGCGGTGGTGGAAGTGCTTCGACAAGTTCTTTTTTCTCTTCTAACTCTTGTACGAGTGTGACATTGGTGCACGAGACAACGGACTCCATGTTTGGAGGCATAGACCGCGGCCTGTCGTGCACCAGGAAAGCTTCGTGCAACGGTGCTGCCAAGAATTTCTTTGCCTCAACCCCTTCTTCCTGCGAGGCGATGGCTGTAGAGATAGGCTGGCGATGGGGCTTGTGAACTTTGGCGTACAGCTCGTCCAAGTTAGCCGGGCCTTCTGTGACAGATGCCACGCCTTCTGATATGTGGATGGTTTGCCTCTGCTTGTTGCACTTGTCTACTGCAGTGTACAGGCTCCCGATGTCGATGTCTGGGCTGGGTGCACCGAGCGATGACGCAGATGTTACCGATGCTAGAAATAAACAAAAGATGTGAAGGATACTGATAAACGCAGCTCAAGAGATAACGTCTGCAAAAGCACGTTGTCTATGAAAACAAAACTCCATGGCTACATCAATGCTACAGTAGATGGCTAACTGATGACCTAACCAGCAACTAAAACAAAGCAAACAAGCATGCTTTTAGTCTAAGAAGGCAGATCAGTGGCTACAAAGCTCAGTTGTTGGCGCAAAGGCTGCGAGCTCTGGCCCGGCATCAGCGGTCGCATTTCCCTGCATGGTAGAGGCCTGTGTACTATGTAATGTCAGTGCACACTTAAGAACACTAGATGGCCAAAATGTCCAGAAGCTTTCCACTACGGCATCTCTCATAACCAAACCATGGTTTTTGGGCGTAAAAACCCACATATTATTATCATTCATGCCTTTAGGGGAGAACAACTTCGGAGATCAAATTTGCTAAACCAACTCACCCAAACAACCATATTAACAAGATGGAACTTATCAACAGTCAACTGCCGATTTTTCGGACACCCGAATTTTCGGACATGCCCGATAATCCGGACATCTTCGCGGCACCGCCACGAGCTCCATAGAGGCAATGTATAAGGAAGTCTGAAATGTCGGACGCTCGAACTCCCCGGAGTCCGATTTTCCGGACTTTTTGACACGACGGAAGGTGGAAAACCACCACTGACCTCCAGTGGAAACCACCACAACTGCTTCGCACACGATTACGATGGCATGAATGAGCGCGCCGGTCTACTGTGGCGGCATCTGTTGCTTGGACTCGATCGTTAGCGGAGAAACACACACGGCCTTCGAGAGTCCTAACACTGGACGTGTTCATCGTGCAAGGGTGCTTCACTGACAATCGAAACTATTCACCCGGAAATTTTTCGGTGCCAATAAAGTTCCTTTCGCTTTAGCGCTTGTGCTCGTGTGTGCCACTCTGGCTTCTCGCGCAGTGCTTTCGTAAAGCGTTTCACCACTTCTAACTAGAACTAACCGTCACACACCGATTTGGTCTGGCAACGCTGGCTATCTTGAATGTTTACCAGTGCCACCTCCGGAGTATCCGAGGCACCGTCGCCTGCCGTCGCGCCGTTTTGTTTACGCAGCCCACATGGTGTTTGGCTAGCCTAGTGCGTGGTTGTGCGATTGTGTGAAGTGTGCTCTGCAACGCTAAGCCTAGGTGCTTCGACGCTCGTCAGAAAACTCCTTTGTTCACATCGTGAGGATTTTGCTTGCCTGCGATGGCCCCCACTCCGCCTTCGTCGTCCTCGCCGATGGCATCGAAGCGCGGAAAACAGTACCGTCGGTTAACGATGGAGAAGAAAGCCACCATTATTAAGTTATTGAAGAGTGGCCGATCGCAGGCTGACGTGAGCAAGGAGTTCGGAATTTCCAAGCAAACAGTTTCCGATTTCCTGAGGAACAAAGACAAGTTCTTGGAAGTGGCCGAAAAACCGTCTGGTGCCCAAAAGATGAATGCAAGTAAAGGTGTTCATCCAAAGCTTGAGGACGCTCTCGTCGTGTGGCTTAATTCAATGATTGCCAAGCGGTTGCCAGTCTCGGGCTGAATCTTGAAACAAAAAGCAGAAACTCTCGCGCTTCGAATGGACATCACAGATTTTAAGTTCAGTGATGGATGGCTGAGAAACTTTAAGCATCAGAATGACCTCAAGTTCAAGAAGATGTGTGGCAAAAGCGGCGCCGTCAACAGTGCATTTATTGCGCAGTACTGCAGTGGAAAACTCCAGTCTTTGTTGCAGCAGTTCTCTGCTGACAACATTTTCAACTGCGACAAAACTGGCTTGTTTTACAAGCTGCTGCCGGAAAGAACACTCGCTTTTGCAGGTGACGCATGCCATGGTGGCAAGCATAGCATGAACGGCTAACCGTTCTTGTCAGCAGCAACATGTCTGGCAGCGAGAAACTTCCTTTGTTAGTAATCGGGAAATCCAAGAGCCCGAAGAGTTTTAAAGGGGCAACGCTGCCAGCGTTATACGAAGCCAACAAAAAGGCATGGGTAACGCAGCAGTTGTTCGAGAGTTACGTCCGCAGGTTGGACAGGAAGTTTGAACAACAGAACAGATGTGTTCTGCTCTTCGTTGACAACTGCGCTGCTCATGGTCACATCAATAACTTGAAGGCTATCCAGTTGAAATTCTTGCCGCCCAACACGACTGCGATCCTCCAACCGATAAACCAAGGCGTTATCCGTAATCTGAAACTTTTCTACCGTTCACGCATACTCAACCGCATGGTGCTGTGCTCGGAAAATGGGAAAGGCTACAGCGTTGACCTTCGGTCTGCTGTCGGAATGCTTGCGGACACATGGAAGGCAGTGACACAAGACACTCTTCGGAACTGCTTTCGCTACGCCGGCTTCGTACCCGACACAGAGGTACTATATATTATTTTACAGAGGTACTAGATATTATCAACGACCTCCGCTCTACTGGTGCTTCCATGCCCACGGAAATAACTTTTGAGCGGTTCGTCAACGCTGACAACGAGCTCAACTTCTGCGCAGAGCTAACCGACGACGAAATAGTCAGTCAGGTTATGGCAGATTCAGACGACTCCGATGTCGAAAACCAGGAACCAACGCATGCGCCACCTACGACTGCCGCATTGATGATGCTGTCATCAGTATACAGTGATGACATGACCCTTGCTCATATCGAGGTGAATGTGATCACATGCAAGCAGAACGCCGTTCAAACAAGGATCAACAAGTTATTCAAGCCACTGCAGCTCCAGCACCGGCTGCCCTGACGGCACCCGCTGTCGGCTGCATACATTTTATTTAACGGCTCTTTTCAGAGCCACCCCACTGATGCTTTGGCAGAGTTCCAGAAGTCTGGTACTTCGACCTTGACCCTCTTGATCCGAGAAATATCAATGAAATAGTGCGTTTTTTGCTTGCACTGAGAAATATTAGCGAAATGGCACGTTTTTTTGCTTGCATTGAAAATTATCAGTAAAATAATGTGTTTTTTTCTGCTTGCATTCAATTTTTTGGACTGCTCCAATTTTCGGACGGTTTTTCGCTCCCTAGAGGGTCCGAAAAATCGGCAGTTGACTGTATATCATAGCATACTACTTATATTGATATGCCATTTTACCTAAGAAGTACAGTAGACTCCCAGTAAATAAAAATCCCTTAAATGAAACTGCTGCCTAAATGGTGCAACTGCTTTGATTCTCCACCCTCATTCATCTCTCAGTAAATTGAACTCCTGTTAAAAACGACCCATTTTCCTGGTCCTATGAGGTTCTGTAAAATAAGCCTACTGTATCCCATCCCACACTTTTTCAGTATCCCCCGAAGATCGCAAAGGTTCAAACTTTCTAGGTTCCATGCTGGAGGGGCTGTTATAATGCAACCTGTACACCTTCTGACAAAGAAATTCTTACACGAAAACTAAAAATTGCTTTGTCCTAGCTTCTGACTTGAAGATAGTATTCTGCTTATCAATTGCACCAATAGGGAGCACTCATGCTTGCTTTTGCAAGATTATTAAGACAAATTTAACTGATTATCACACAATAAAACAAACATTTGCATTCTACTCCGTCTTGTTCATATGAATGCAGAATCTGGCTGTAGTTGAGTAGCATTACACGTATTGTGGGCGTTTGTTATTTACATCGTCCTCATACCTGCATGATCATTATAACTATCATTCATTTGTTTCGTCCTCATCACCTCTCTGTGTCATCATCATTGTCAGTATTCAGGCTCTGCCCGCTCATTTTGCGAGGTCTTCTGTCGAATAAATGCTGTCACAACCAAAAGTCACAGTACACGCAAGAGTAAAAAAAAAGTTTTATATGTAGTACGCAGTGCTCACACATTTGACACCGTCGGTTGTGACAGCCCTCTCGGCCCGATGCACGTCTTTACTTGATATGTTAAAAAAATATATATATGCGAGACGGTTCAAAGGTTCTTTAAAAACCCTGAAAATTGAGTAATTTGTACACTGACCTTGTCTAGAATGGGCCTGGGCAACAGACTTGAGGCTTTCGACAGTAGGGGGCGCTGGCGGGTGCGGCTCGGTCGTCCTTGGCTCGATGCGAGCGTACGTGACGGACGAGCCGGCAGAGTTGTGGCCTGACTCTATTTCAGCATACATCTGCTCTTCCTCGGGAACCTCTGTGTAGTAGGCCTCTTGGGTTGCGGCTGCAGCCTGTGTGTGGAGTGCGGTAAAGTCTGTTAGCGCTGCATGCACATACGATGTCAAAATCATGTTACGTGAAGGAAGAAAGCATTGCTCCTAGTCCGAAATATCATGCACCAAGTCAAGGAACCTAAAAGCTGAAATTAGGCTGAGTAAGAGGGAATTAATGAAAACATGTTCACAAAACTATTTATATGACAGAAACAAGATGCATTTTTTAGATACTGCATGGAGTGCAAAAGTTCTTTACTTTACACATCACAATTCAATGGTCTACAATAAAAACTAAATTACAATAATGATATTTTTTTTATTTATTACTACAGTTAAACCTGGGTGTAACAAAATTGATGAATGACGACAATATTTGTTATGAGCAGTTTCACATGAAAATCGACAAGTGTCACACCTCACACATTTATTCAGAAAAACAAAAAAAGCTGCATGATTATGGCCTGTGTTCTTTTCCTATATGATGAGATCAAGCAGCGCTCCAAACAAGTTTAATCATGCGATACGGCTTAATCATCCAGCATGCTGGTGGCCAAGGAAAGACGTCCAATGCGTCCACCACTTTCTTCGTGGTAGGCACGCAAACAGGATTGTGATCTTGCACCACCATTTCAATAAGCAGCGCACCTCACATTTCTTCAGTACATATGGCGTATTTTCAGCAAACAAAAGTACTTCAAGTTTGATGCCATCGGGCACTCGTCCGTTCGCACGTAGCACATTCCGTGACTTGGTTACATCTGCCTGATTTGCAGGCCCGTCTTCAGCGTCGCGAATTTCCGCTTCAACAACTTTTATTGGCCCCTTAGTGAAGCAATTTGAAGCTGTCTGAGCTGCAACTTCTTGACTCGACACGGCAACTATCTCGACGGTTTGATAGATGTTGATGTTCATTTACCCTTGAAAACGGATGTCCAGAAGAATCTTATCTACAGTTTTTACTTGCGCAATGAATGCACTTGCATAATAAACGCACACCCAACTTCATTCGTCGAAATCTGAATTTTTTTTTCTCCCGCGTAATAAACGCATACCCCCCCACCCCCCGACGTTCGTCCGTTGCAGTCCCGCTAGCTGACACCTGGGGCCTCCATGCCCATTGGATCTCTCTCGTTTTTCATTCTTACACAGACCCCCTTCGGCCGCTTCGGTTCGCTACCTCCCCTACTCGCCCGCTGCCGTGCACGTTCTTCATATCTGCCCGCGGCACGTTCCCCGTCCTTCTTTATTATCTGTACGCCACAATGGGGTTTACAACGATGTGGGTGTAGAGACATCGCAGCTGATAAACACACAGTGAGTGAAGGCGACGAAACTGCCCGTGCCAACCGATGGTTGCTTCCTGCAAATACGAACCTAATGCCCGTGATTTTCGAGCAACGATTGCAGAATTTGCTGTCACTTTGGGTGTCACGAAAAGCTATTCATCGACATCGCGTCGCAGGTTTCTGGAAAACCAGAGAAAATCACTTGCCGCCCAGAGAAAATCCTGACGATTTCCGCAACTTGTAGCACCCCCGATTCTCGCTTCGGTCACAGTTTGCTCTTCGAGCTTCTAGTCCACACCTACTTCAAGGAACGCAAAATATAGGCCACCTTTTCTACGGTAACTTCTCATGTGAACAGCAAGATGGCAGCCGTATTTTGTCGTTAATCTTGTTATCGACTGTTTGTTTTGATGCTTCGGTGATGATAGCTTTCTGCGATGTCAACGGTGTCGCCACGGTGGTCGTGCGAGGTTGCCAGAAAGTTGCCAAAGTGCGTCGTAGTGCATGCTTCTGGGCACCCCTCGATATAACAGCTGTTGAAGTTAAACGATTGCAAGAAGAGAAAGCCATGAAATGTTTTTACGAAGCGCTCGGGGTGCCCAGCTTGCGGCAGATAGCGCCTTCAACCACCAAAGATGAGTGAAGCGCAACAAAAAAGCCGTTTCCAAACAGCATACTCGTATGACAATTGTGAAAGGCTAAGCGACCTAACCCCCTCCTCTCGTCACTTTTTTTTTTTGCATTACCACATTTTTTGTCTCATCCCAAAAAAGTTAAAAAAAATTACCCCGCATAATAAATGCACCCCAACTTTGTTCTGATTTTTCTAAAAAAAAAAGTCATTACGTGAGTAAATACAATATTACACGACATCAACAGCACCAATTGAAGCTGTTATTTTTTTATGATTACTTTGTGCCGTGACTGCGTCAAGAATGTGCAATTCTAAGGAAAAAAATGTTAACTCTATGGTTGAGAGCTGAGGGTCGTAAACGTGGTGCGCATGCATAAGAACTGCCCAAGAGCAAAGAGATTTGGTCGCGTTGTTGCTTGATGTCTTCGTCGAAATCTTTCAACAAAGGTGAGCAAATAATCAAAATATTAAAATTTGCTCAAATAGTGTTTGCTATTCCATTCTATTCACACTAGAATTTTACTATTCAAACTATTCGACCTTCCCAAAAACAAATGCACTCAAAATTCAAATAAAAATGACTCCTACAGCTTTCTTGTATGCTTCACCTCATCACACTTTCGTATTGCGGCAAAGCAGCTTTTCAGGCTCCACTGCAATTGCAAATTTGTTGACTCGAGAAAATGCTCGTTCCAACATAGAGATTATTGATGTGGCATAGATGGGAGCTCAATTATTGCTGTTTTGGCCTAAAATTTGGGTAGCAAGTTGGAAAAGTGTGATGCCGAACATTTTTGGCATTCAAAACTTCAGATGTTTTTTTTACTGTATACTCTCAGTAAACGGAAATTTGTAACACGGAACTTCTGCTTAAACGGAACTATTGCCTCTGCAATGCTTGGGTTCGGGCTTGCATTCTGCACCTATGTTCACTTCTCGGTAAACGGAACACCTGTTAAATGGAACACATTTTCCCGGTCTCTTCAGGTTTCTTTTACCGAGAGTCTACTGTATATGGACGTCTATGAAGCAGATATGGAACTCCATACCCTCTTCCGCCACATCAGCTGGGCTTCCAGAGCAGTTTAAACAGGAGCAGGAGAGGCTGAGGAAATAAGCAGCATCTTTGCCTTTCACATACAAAGTGTTGTCGTAACACTTTGGTTTGACCAAATTATGTGCATAAATACAATTCAGCCTCTCCATTACTTCATCCTTGATAAGACAACTCTAAAACACCAACACGCCAGTGCTTCATTAATCTGGCCAAAAGAAACACTTTCATGTTGCTATTTTATAAGAATATGCATATGAATCCTCTCCAACTTCTGTCCAGCAATTCCATTTCGAAGAATTAGAAAAATATCCCAGAAAAAATACAGAAATATTTGAAAAATGTTCTATTCAGTTCGCATGCACACTTGAATTTTCGCTTCACAGCCAATATTTTGCTATTTGCACAGCTCTAGAAATAACCAATAAATGAGATATGGGAAAGACTACCTTCCAAATGTTGACCCTCGCCCCCCCTCTTACTCTGCCTTCTAAACTGACCCCACCTTTGCGGGACTAAATTATTTTGTGCCTGCAGCCCGAAAGCTGAGGAGGGTTTAGGACCCTCAGTTTAGAGATAGGCAGTAATACAAACCTGTGCTGGTTTCTGTCTCATGGTCTCCTCGCGAACTTTTGCCAGCGGTTCACGAACAGAGATCACCGTGTAGGACAAGTCCGATTTCCCTGCAGTCGAAGAAATGAAAATATCTTTGAAACTCTGCATTTGTAAAGTGATTATGCGGGTTGAAACAACACAGAAAGTAATTCACTTGAAGAGGCCCAGCAACACCTCTTCTGTATCGCCAGGAAATCCTGCCGACCGATAGGGTTATTCTAGAAGTGTAAGCTGAACATTATTGCACAGCAGCCTGGAGTTTATAGTTCGCCCCAAAGAGTGTGCAACAGGCTCTGGAAATGCAGCTCTTCCAGCTCTCCCTGTGACTATGCCTTCCGTGCACTTGTTGAAACCAGCACCACAAGGTGCGAATACCTTGTTGCAGTTAAGTTCACCTTTGTTCAGACTGCAACACCAATTTTTCTGTTCTGGTCATTTTTCTTGGACATACTTTTTCTCCCTAACTTGCTTTGCACGCAAAACAATGTGAAAATTTTTTGCAGATCCACTTTCTTTTTTTTTTTCACCATACTTATCTTATTTTCATTATTCAGCACTGGATAAGCACACTAGTCAAAAGGACTTTTGTTTTGATGGGAAAAAAATTCGGCATTAATTTGAACTACTTCCCAAAAATCAATGCTGGGCAAACAAAACAAGCTTAAGCCTGCATTAAAGCGGACGCCATGCAACTGGGTGCATGGCCTCAAAAATACTTACACGTGACACGGCCTTATCTGGAACATCAAGCCAGCCGAAAACATATTGAACTCGCAGCATTTCAAGTTGACAAAGACCCCTTTCTTTTCCAAGCTATAAATGAAGTTTTCATGCTTACCTGTAGGTTGTACAGAGCTGCCAGGTAAATCGGATGCAGGTGGTACAGGAAAGGCATCGGCAGCACCATGGGTTGATGTGCCGGGCACAGGTGACGCTGGTGCATTTACTTGTCCTAGAACAAGACAAATCGTTTGAGCTGAGTATGTGGAATTACAGAACTTCTCTAATGCGATGTATATGTATAACATTCTATGGACCAAATTTCATCAGTGGAGTTAGGAGCATGTAACTTGTGCATCTGAATGACAAAAGATAGACAGAGACAGGCTCTGCAAGGAGTGATGGCCAAGGAGGCATGCTACAGAAATCGAGCAGGTTCATTGCTCCTTTCTCTATTGACAGTTACTGGCTATAACTCTACAAGAACTAGTTGTCTCAAATGCAATACACATATCCAACTGTGGGAAGGCAGCATATAATGAAGGCAAGGAAAGTAGTGTGGACATTTCCTTGGCTTCGTAGAGCTTCTAAAAAGGTCCCTCAAATGATTCTTCTTCTTTTGCTTATACGTACATTGTTTCACAAAACCTGACCAAAGCTATAGAGAAGTGCCGTATGCTTAAGGGACACTACAGGCAAACTGCAATTTATGTCAGAGCGAAAGCTGAATGTTTGACGTCTAAAACGGCAATATTATCAACAGCACTGCCCTACTTGCCAAGAAATTAAGCTGAATGTAATACACAACGTGCACAACGAGTGGGACATTTTGGAAATGATCCTGATGACATGAAAGCATCAGACCACGATTAATCACAAGTAATCAAACTGGCCGCAATAAACAAAAAATAACATTCTGTGCATCAAGAGATGTATAAAATGCCGATTATCTATTTCTGTTTGATTTATAGAAAAAGGAACCACCTGGAATTACTATGGGGAATGGCAGGAGTGGTTCATAAGTTCCATTTTTGCCTGGTTAAGGTGGACAGGTGGTGCCATCTAACAGCACCCACTGGAACCAAGCAAGCAGTAAACTGTTCAATCGCGGTTGTTTCTCTTATGCTACCGCTGCTTTCGCTCTTGCTACTAGTGTTGGCGGCCATGTCGTAAAGGTAGGCAATGCTGGGCACGGCAGCAATGGCGTCAGGCCACTTTCAGGGGGGCCATTTGAAGAGCGATAACGCAATGGGGCAATGAAAACAAGATTTTATTTCAAGATAAGCACTTCTTTGGCACAAAAGTAGCACTATGAGCTTTCTGGACTACTATTTCTGAACAATTAACGCCGACTTAATATTTTTCTTTAGTGTCCCTTTAATGATTTAGCAGAAGAAGAGCAGCTGTGTCATAACCCCTTGTGGATTATAACCAAGTTGTGGGCCACAAGGAAACATTTCACATTTAGTAAAAAAATCTAGGTGAGAACGCAAATCATAATTTGCTTACTGTTCCACCTCTTTTTATGTTTTAGTTGTCTCTAGACGCCTTCCTAGAGACATAACTTACGAAATGAAGTGACCATTTCTTCCAGTACAGGCGGCGGCGCACTTTCCACCACTGCATCGGCGGTGACATCGAAGCGCTTTTCGGGGACGGGCGGCGCGGTGTCCTCCGAAGAACTGGGCGCACGCACGTTTGCCACCGAGTAGAGGGGATCTGACTCTGAACTCTCGCTCGGAGTGTCTGTGCCCTTGCCGGCAGAAAGCACGATGGGGGCGGCAGATGACGAGGGCGTGGTCGGTGGCGGCGGGGCGTGAGCCTTGTTCCTTCGGTGTGGACGCACGAGTGTCGTGGGAGCTTGCCCGTCTGTAGCAGCCGTGGCACCATTGTTGTTGTTGTTGTTGCTGCCGCTGCCATCCCAGGCGGTTGTGACCGGGTTAGGCAGGGGATTAGGCAGAGACTGCGGTCGGCCTGGGGGCGTTGGCAGTGCACGTTCTGTCACTGGCCTGCTGCGAGGTGCAAATGACACAACATGGGAGTCTGCAGAAGTGTGCAGAATGGGCACATGCCCACTCCCCAACTTCTTCCCCAAGCCAAACGAACACTTGACCCCTACCCAAGCTAAACGAGGGCTCTCAACCTCCTCCCCCCGTCGCAATGCAACACGGGTTTGAGCACCACAGGACAGTTCACTCATTGCCGCTTTAACTTAGGTAAGAAGTACAGTAGACTCTCGGTTAACGGAAATGTCTTACATTCAAACCTCCTTATAACAAAACTGGATATAATGAAATATCGGTTATAATGAAATAAACGAAATATAGTCTTGCAACGAATATAGTGTTGGAAAAACCTTTATAAGAAGTTTTTGGATATAACGAACTTATTTTCGTGTAAGATACAACAGAAAGAATTAAACAGAACCGCTGCTTAAGTGGAACAACTGCCTCTAACCTGATTGGCTTTGTACTTGAATCCTGCAGCCCTGTTCATTTGTAAGTAAACATAACCATTAAATCGAACATATTTTCCTACTCCTTTCAGGTTCACTTTACCATGTCTACTATATTTATGCTCTTTAAATACTTGATATGTTTGAAAGAGATGTATCGAGCTTGAATCACCAAAGCACATTCCCCTGAAATTTGAACTATTTCATACTCATTTGTGGATGTGGAGGGCCCATTAGTGCCCAGAAAACAAGAAATATGGAATGAGTAAAACAATTATCAGCAGGAGAATTAATTACATCAGGCTAGTGTATTATGTACTATCAGCTTGACGTTTCATTGACACAGATAGTACAGCTAAAAGGTCACTGGTGCTTCAAAATGCTACTTTGGGCTAAATTGTTTTGTTTGCTATACTTAAAGGGAGACTGACGACCAAAACCATTTCTCACGCATTAGTAAAATACAATTTCACAATCTCGAAAACGCCACTCGAACCATGAGACGACGCTTGGTAAGTGAGAAAATGCGCGAGAAGAAAATGCAGGTAAAGATTCCACTTTCAGATTCCTGCACCAAATGCTGTGATGGGATAGATTTTGAAGGCATATACTGGGCCCTACATAGCTTCTAATCAATAAAAAATGAAGTACATAGTCATCTATGGTTGCCATAGACCTAGATTATGAAGTTTCAGGAAATTTCATCCGGCCAATATCATGAAAATATAACAAATACATTTAGAAATTTCTGACATCATGTGCAGAGATTCGGCACCAAATTTAAATACGAAACTCTAACTTTGATTTTCTCTGCTAATAATGAACTTGTGATAGCGAGACATGTGGCATTAGAGTTCTATCCGTTCGTCAGTCTCAAGCAAGTCACCTTTTCTTTTTAGTATCCTTTAGGTTGGACTTCTGAGATGACGAACTCAGTGTATCAAGATTTTCTCCAGAATAAGAAACTAGCAAATGCTGTTGAAAATGACATTAACATTATGATCAGATATGGTATATCATATAAAAACAAATGAATACCCTTTAGCCCATTCTTACTGTTTTTGATAAGAAACATTCAGCTTACGTGAGAAATTAACAAGTTTGGTAAGTAAAAAAGCTCAGACTTCTTTTTTTCACACCTCGCAACATAGCTTTTTGTTGGGCTAGTTGGTGCATGTTTTACAGAAGGAATAAGGTGCAAACGAGATGAACACCACTTTTTTCTTTTGGTCTTTCCACAAAACTCTCAATAAGTTCGCGCAACTTTGCCCACGTAGACTGACTTCATAGACTCGTCATCTGCACTAAGAAATGGTGACTTGGCCCTGAGGTTATGCGGCATTGGTCGTGCAATCACTATGCATGTCACATGTTAGTTTACCTCACCACTATTTTACACCGTGCTTCCTCACCGCACCGCTTTCACATTTGTGACATGTGGAGAAAGCCTTGTTCTGTCATTGCCTGTCCCTCAATAATGCAATCACTGACATGTTGAGTTGCCTACGTGGCCATAGTAGTGACCATCGGCTATGCCAACATCTTTTCATATTTTGCTGGTCGCGACACTCCGCCATTACGCTAAGGGCCACTTCATGCACAGCCTAACGCAGCGTGGCTGTGCCACAGAGGGTTCACGTGCCAAAACGCCTGGGTAATGCGACACACGCTGATGGTTGTGGTTCTTTCTGTGCATCTGCTGCACTATTTTCTGAGGCAGCTGAACTGTTGATGTGGGACGAAGATGCCAAACAGGTGTTGCGTGCTGGTGGCCACTTCCATTTACAAGAAAACAACCAAAAGGCGCCGTTCGGTTTAACCAGTAACAAAGGGAATTCACAAGAAATGGAAGTGGGCCCTGCCGCTGCTAGATAGCAGAGATTAGAACTTTGAATCAAAGTGCACAAATGTGCGCACGAAACACTTTGATGCCTCAGACATAGTTTCTGCTTGCGATTTGAATTTTGACAGCAACATCGTGTCCCTCAAATAGAAGAATCTGACAATGCAGTCCATGCATTATTTGTGTTTCTTGTATTAGTTCCACACCTTTAAAGGGACCCTAAAACGATTTTTTTTTTTAAGTTTTGTCAGCGTTTAGGCTAGAGCATCATCAAACCCTTCGCACCACAAATTCATTGACTCGCCGTGTACCAAAGCTGCGACGGACAATTGTATCAACCTCCTTCTCACCTCTGCCTGGCCTCCTCAACTGATGAGGCAGGCTGACATCACCGGTGATCTCGGAGCTCTCATGAGCGCGCTCGAAGTTTTGAGCTTTTTTACCAGTCTAGACCTCGGAGATCGCACGCCGACAGGTTGCGCGCAGTCTTGGAGGCATGGTGCGCTTGGCAGCACGTACACCGTCTGGCAACAGTGACGAAAATCTCGTAGTGGTTCATACCTGCTCCGACAGGTGCCGCCACCTTACCAGCCCACATTACTACCGCACAATCTGCGGTCCATGACAGCCAGTCAAATCAGCAGCTGACGCGGCTGCTTAAGTGCTCTGGCCTCTTCAAGCTAGCAGCCAGAGCATGTCGCTCTGTGAATGGGCGGTTGAAAACACATTTCGCAGAGCCGCAATGATCTTAAGCGATTCGCAACTTTAAGGGGTTGTAATAAATTACGCAGTTTATGCAGAGAGCTCGAATTGATTCGTAAATGACCCTTGAAATTTGGTTTACCGGCCCAATGTGTTTGTACAAAGCTGCCAAAACTGTTTCAGGGCCCCTTAAACAAAGTTATTCATTATCAGAGGACTTTTGTTTCTTGGCTTTTTATTTTACAATATAAACAAAATTACGCTTGCTGCATGTCCTTTTTGCTCCAAATATTATAATCTTTTTCCGACTGAATTATAAGGTTGATGTGTTCTCAATAAAATTTTTTCTTCTATAAGAATATAACTATGTATTTTAGCTATTAGTAACTCATTAAGAATATAACCTATTGGACACTAAAAACCAAAATTCCTAGACTTGTATTTTCTGCATTAGGACTACGAGTATTACGATAAACCGATAAATTACCGATGCTTCTATAAAAGATCACTTGCTGATAATGATTTCTGGGATTTTACAGCTCAAACTATAACATGACTATGACGCATGCTATAGTGGAGGCTTTAGAGAATCTTAACCACCTGGTACTGCATAGCGTACACTGACAGAATGTAGTATACAAGTCTATAGAATGTCACCGCCGACAAAACGCCGATTCCTGATGCCGCATTTTTCGGATCAGCAGTCAAGCAGCAGCATGGGCCCCGCACAGCAATATACCGCTAGCTCGGTTAAAGGCGTGATCACAATGCAGTTGCAACTGCGCATGTTCTGAAGCTTCTGTCACTGTAATCCTATGCTAATGTCCATAATAACTATATCTAGCTACAAGTATTGTGCGCATTCATTTAATCGAAATGTTGTTTGCTTCGCCAAAAAATGTATGGCTCTCGAAGCACAGCAGTCTCACTTTATTGGTCAACAGACACTAGGTGGAAGTTTCGTGACCAGAAAACCATTAAAGAATTCCGGCAAAACAGACTCCGCTTTTCGGAGCAAAGAATGGTAGTGAGGCCGAGTGAGAAACCGATACCAGCTGAAATGGTTGTTTTGCTTCTCCTAACACCGCCTATAAACAAAACTCTTGCAGCAGCAAGCTCATATGCACATATTGCATATGTTTATATTGCACAAGCACACAGTTATCTCCTAATCTCAAATTTTGGCCTAAGGTGCCGTTTACCACCCTTCAACTCGTTACCGACAGTTGCTTCAATTACCTGGGATGGAGGGAAACTTTCTCTAGAGGAGAGTCGCCCCGCAAGTCACCATTCTGATGGTCGTCTGTGCTCTGCAAGTAAAGTTAGAGCGGAGTTTAGCACACTGCACCGCAAACACAATGCAGTGCAAGATATTTTTTATTTGATAGAAACTCTAGCCCATTTTTTTTCTCACATAAGAGGAGGGTATGGAGGTACACTTGCAAGACAATATTTAAAATTCATTAAAGACGGCCCTAGTACTATTAGCATCATTGAAATGTCATTGAACAGATGAATATGCACCAACGTTATGTAGTAACAATAAGGCTATGGGTGATGCTACTGCCCATAACAAAGTCAACTGTCAGCATTTCCTCTTGCTGAGCTACATTTGGAAATAACGGAACCAATATTTCACATCTTGGCACATATTTCCTGGTCACAGAAACCAAGACTATTCTGCAGAAACAAATGTAGTAAATTAGACATTGTACTCTGGTGCTTGCAAGTATATTTTTTTGCTTGGGCATAGGCAATTAAAAGGGAAAAAATAAAAAAAAATAAACGACACAAATCAATAACACTGACACGAGGAGAAAGCCTTATTCTTATGTTTATCTATTTTAGCCCATTGCAACAAATCTTCAGTGAAAACTCGAAAAATAATTCTGCAGACAAGAGCGTAAAACACCAAGCCAGCATAAAAGCTTAGGAAAAGAGGAAATTGAAAAAATAAGAGAGTGAGAGAAAAAGTACCTGAACTTTATAGGCGACGGGCGAGTTCTTATTCAATACTTGGTGGTTCTCACCCAAGAAATTGAGCGACCTATGGACAGGAGAAAAAAAATTAGGCCGAAGTAAATAAATATGTTAGCATTTTCAGTAAATGAAAACAAGAAGGGATACACCTCCTCCTTTCTCATCTTCATATCTTTGAACTCTTCAGACAATGGCACAAAAGCTTAATACACACCAGAGAAACGTGTATCAGCTGCTTTGAGAGACTATCAAAGTATAAAGTACACGCAAACCTCATTAAAACAAAATCGCATCTAACACGAAAATGAGTTCGTTATATCAAAAAATTTGTTATAAAAGTATATTCCTAACCCTATATTCATTGCAAGACTGTCTTTCACTTACTTTGTTATAACCAATATTTCATGATATCTGGGTTCGTTATATTGAGATCTGTGTGTAATATGCACATCATTGCAATGCATATCCAGAACATACCATGTTACGTTGCTAATATTTCAAGGATGGTGCATACGATCCCACAATGTAATCTTAGAGAGATTTTTCATGTATGATAGATGCTGCTGACTATTGAAGGTCATCCATAAGGCCTAGGCTGATTCTTGACATCCTGTCATACAAAACACGCACATAAGGGAACTGTGGGCAGAACGACATATATGGGGTGCTATCACCCCCTGTAAAGCCGTTTGCACCATAGTTTCCTCAAAAAACTAGAGGGGACTCTGGCGCTGCATCTGTTCAGTGAGCATGGGTATGATGAGTAGTACGCGGATTTGCCCAGTCTTCGTACTTGCGGGTGGTGAGTCGCACTTGTGGCTTTGCTTGTTGCTGGTTTCGGTTCGAAGGAAAGAACACTATTTTGAACTTCGTGACCCAATTTGAAATGGTAAGCCTAAAAGGTGAAGGGGGTGAAACGTAACTGGCAAACATTTGCCGATTGTCGTTTCGTGTAAAGCAGCTTTCAAGCCACGCAAAGCCAAAAGGAACATAAAGTAAAAAAACTAGGCAAATTCGTGTACTACCCATCATTGCCGTGCTCGCTGAAGCACCATGCGTTGCAGCTCCCAGAGACACTAGTGCCAGAGTTACCTCTAGTGCATATTTAGTAAACACTACGGTTTGCGCCTCGTAGCGCATATGTGTTCCGCGGATAAGCCACATTTAGGGTCAATAACCATTGAGCAGCACGTGGCTCAGGATTCATCATTATCATTATTGGGATTATCATTATTGCTATCAGTGGTGCCTGGCGGCAAGGCTGGATGGCGGCACGTGAGACATGAGCGGCTCTTTGGCACGTGGCAGGGTGCGGCGGGATGCGGTGACCACGAAATACGTTGTGAAAAGCACTGTAGAGATTATATTTGAATGCCCATGAAAGTGGCGTACAGGAATTCATTTCATCAAGAACCGATGCAGCATTCAAGATTCACTTGCTCGCACGTGATATAACACACTCAATGTGGAACACAACTGTTTTTCGGGATACCTGCCCATGCCGCTTATATCTGTCACTTCAACTTCAAATTCCATCCGGACTATCCCGATCCGAAACAACCATCCTCTGTCACTTGTGGCTGAGGGTGTCATTCGCTAATAGTTTTGCTTAACAGATTGAGATGACTGATTGTGCTCTGTGTGATCACTGTGGCAGTGAGAAAACCATTGCCCACGTCTTTTGTGACTGTCCTCATGATAGCTCCCAAAGACAACAGCTTTTGGCAACGCTAGCACGGCTCGACGACCAGACACTTTCGGAGCAGTCAATATCGGAGTGCCGGATCGTTCGACGTTCCAGCTAGAAAGCGACAAAGACACTGCTGAAGTTTCTGCTGTCAACCAGACTCGCAAAACGTCTGAGACACTACCATACTCAAGTGTGTGCACGTTTGCCGTTTTCTTTTCTTTAACTATCCCTTTCCCTCCTTACCGTTTTCATGCCCATTTCCTTTAATTCAGTGCAGGGTAGCAAACAGGATTTTTTCTTCTGGTTAACCTCCCTGCTTTTCACTCAACCTTGTTCTCTCTCTAGATATTTCTTTACCTTACACCCTCTTTTACTTGCGTTTTTAGTGCTCTCCTTATGGAGCTGCTATAGATAGGTTCCAGTACCTTTATATCGGCTTCCCTTACACCCTCATGCCTGCTACTTGCTTGTGTAGTGTAATTATGAAGCTAACACAGTTTGCTTTAACCCTTTTCAACACAAAAGAACGGCAGACAACATTGATGCTACAGTGGATGAATGCATAATGATGCCTTCAGAGTTTAGGAACTCAAGACGTGAATGCATGTCTAAAAGCTTGATCACAGCCAAAGTCGTGCTCCAGCTTGTTTTAGCGATAACTACGATGCTTCGTTTATAATGAAAGAAAAAAAATTCATACTACTTTTTTTTTTCCTTTCACATATATTAGCGCGCGAACATGACCTACAAAAAAGGATGCGGCATAGCTGTTGCCGATTCCTTCTGGCACAAAATTGACGGACGTTGCACAGAACACATCACTCGTGTAAGCAGCAAAATATTCATTTTTTTAGTGCGGATCGGACTGCCAGAAAACTTTGGTTGCCAAGCGCACAACTACGAGCGGTCGGCGTGTTTTGAAGTGCTATCGCAACACGCACGATTGCCCGACTCGGAACGGAAATCCCAATCAAAACATTCGTACGGGCTCCGTTCCGTTGAGCCACGGTCCCTACGCAGACGCGCACCCGACCGCCCACATTATGCGGTCGCGAGTACACAGTATCTATATTTAGCAAGCTGGCGCACCGCAGTCTTCACACTCGAGCGAGTGCACAGTACAGCGGCTTAAGTGGCAATCAAAGGCACAGAATGGCCGCGGTTTCACTTACTTGTCCGCCCCTTGCTTACAAAGGCACAGAGCGAGAGCGACAATCAAAACCACTGACGTAGGGATGGCGACAAGAGCCCATGTCACCGGAACGAGCTCAACCGAAAGCATCTTTCACACCAGTCCTTCGAAACCTGCGCAGGTTGAACAAAGCAATAGAATGTCACAAAACTGCCTCACGAAACAAGCGAAGATCGTGCTACGCAAGGTTTTAGAAGGGGCGATGCCCCGCACAGTCACAAATTTACTCGCATAATTGATTCGGTGCACTTAGCGGGCTTTGCAGTGACAACGGAACGCTTTTGGCTGATGCGGACACGCATACGATGTTCACTTGTGCACTCTATAGTGATGTGCAAACACTCACTCATTGCGATTGGATGTAGCAGCTCGGAAATGGTAAACATCGGTGACCCGCGGCTTTCGCCAAATCACAACGACAGCGAAAATGTGGGGCAAAGGGGACGACGACGACGACGACAGCAGCGACAGTAGTGGCGGTGCTTTACAAACTAGGAAGCCTGGATAGATGCAAGTGCCTAAGGTGCTAGTGGCGTGAAGCCTTCGTACTGATGGTTGTTGTAAATGTTTAAAAAAAAAATTATACTTATATGAAGTCTGCAGAAACAGTTCTTAATAACTAAAAAAATATGACGATTAACTTAAATATGCGTTGTTTATAAGTGTTTTTGTTTTTTTATGTCAAAATTCAGTGTTGAGTCTATTATGAGTCAAGATAAGTGGCAGTTTCATTTGTCCACAACTCATTTAGCTTTAGGCGTTTGTGGCGCGCGTGTGTAGAGTATGGTGTGAAGTGCGTTCTGACGTGCATTAAGAGACGCGCTATTTCTTCTACTCATTCATTTATTTCAGCTATTGACCATGGTTTCTCTAACGCCTTTTAACATGGCTATCGACGATCTAAAAACACTTAACACGTATGTGGTACAGGGACTGGACATGATACGCGGTGTTGCTGCGGATATCTGTAGTGTAGAGACAGGTGCGCTTTGAAGTTTCCTTTACTTGAACTACCTTAGCATACTGTGTGCAATGTATATACACTGTTTCCCACTTGAACACTTGTATTGCTGAGTCGTGTATGTGGTAATGTGCCGTGAATAAATTGAAGAGTTTGGGCTCTTTGATATAATCAGCAATGAAATAATCCAGATATAATCAGCAATGAAATAATCCAGTTGCAAGATGATCGAAATACACCTATTTCTCTCGCGAACCCCGTGCGCTGCGTTTACCGGAGTAAATTAAAAAGTGGTTCGGATTGATGCTGCACGCGTGTTCGTTATCATGACAATGTTTTGGGTCGTGTCACTGCCCAGGTGACAGTGTTAACGTAGACGTGGAGGAGTTGAAGAGTTGCACCGAAGCTGTGATTAAGGAAGAGTACGACGCCGCCAGTTTCGTGGAAGCGGCTCCACAACTTATCCAAAAGGTATGTTTTGGATTGTTATTCTACACAAGTGTAGCACAGCGTAGAAGCTGATAAGTTGCTTACTACAGCGGCAAGCAATGCTAAAGCAAGTTTCTATGGCAAGTTTTTCAAATTCAGGAAAACACAAGCGTTCACTTGGACATCTGTGACCCACTGTTGATTGATGACCACGCCAAAACCTTTATTGTGAGCGTCAATGTATGGTCTCTCACTGATATGTCATTTGTGCATTTGATACGTGGTTGCATAAAAGCATCATGTGTCTGTCCAATAAACTCAGTTGAAGATTTGCGCTTGTGGCCGTATAGTCCTTAATCTCAAGTGATCGTCTTTTAAGCTGTGTGCAATAACGTAACATTGAAAAAAAAAAAAGAGGGAGGCACAAAAAATGCAGTCCTAATAAGTGTTGTGCGAGTTGACGTTCTGGCTGTTGCGTTCAAGACAGAGCCTGGTGCCAAAAGCTGGAGCCTTGGGATTGTTCAGGTACTCGAGCAGCGACCGCCATAGCTCGTTGGCGGCAGCACAGGTGATGCGTCCAGGCCTAGAATGAAATCGGGTTCCATTCCAGTGGAATTGTGGCAATCCCATTGCCTGGTTCCAGAGTACAGCGGGCAGTCCCAAATGAAGTGCGCCAGGTCCGCCCAGGTGTTGCAGTGGCTACAAATGCCAATATTTGTGGTGTCCAGGTCTCGATATCCGTGAAAACGCCGCACGAGGAAAAGGGTCAGGAGAGTTCCTGTCTTCCCGGTTAATTATTATGCAATTGGGTATGATTTGGAATGCTTAACTGTTATTTCGTCTTTATTATTGTTATTTAGTGAATGAAGAAAAAGCGTTACCTTCAACCTTAAGTGAAAGCCAAGTAAAGATGCCCTTGACGTAATTCCGAATGCACGATCCAGTCCCTACATATGCGAAGTGGCCAGTGAATGATCGTGCAGCGCGAGTTGTCATTTTTTTTTACTAGCAGATGCTGCCTGCATGGGCCTTACGAGACGAAAAAGAGCAGGGGAGCGACATTCTTGCGAGCGTCTTCCTAAGCTGGCACGAGATGCGAGCATGCGCAGTAGGGGTGTAAATGGCGTCGACGCCAAAGCACGACATTGTGTGACTAAAAGATGCTCCGCATTTAAAATCACTTCCTCTTCTCTCAACAAATGACACTACAGGCCCAAATTGCTACGTCCTAGACCTAGTATCGCCCATTGGCCGGTCTGAGCATGGCGCGCTCAGTCGTTACTGGGGCCACCGCGGGAGGCCGCAGCTTAGCCACGCGTTTGCACACGACCACCCCGAGAAATTGCGCATTCAGAGAAAAAAAAAAGAGAGAGAGAGAAAAATGCTCAAGGTGACGAAGTGCGCGTAATGCATTTTCTTTCCTCGTGTCATCCTTCCCTACTTACCTTGATTTTGACAGCGCACTGAGAGATGAGGACTACGTAAAAAAGGTGCACAAAACGTGCGCTGGTAACATGGGTACATTTTCTTTTCATAGTCCTCGTCCCTTAGTGCGCCGTTAAAATCAAGATGAATCCATATCAACTTGCCTTAGTTTCAATCCTCCCTGCTTAGCTTCCAGCACTTTCATCGGGATGAGAGAAGAGAGAATGTGACTGCAGCATGTGACCAATCTTTGTAACTCCGTTCATACATGCACAGATTCGGAAAAATTTGACGGCAGAAAATTTGTGAGGCAATAAGCTCCTTTAGTGTGTCTGTTCTTAAAAAAGTGTTGCAGGGCCCCTTCAAGATTTTCTGTGTTGTCCTGCGGGAGGGTATGCAAAAACATATGTAGAGCAGAGATGCATGGGAAATAATATGCGGCAGCCCCTGCTGCAGTGATCTTAGGCCCCATTCACGCTCTACCAGCCCTTCCATCATCTCTCCGTCTGGCTACTGCTTCTGCCCTCCATGGGTGTGTCTGGGAACCGAAATGTGACATGTGATGCGGACACTCATCTCTCATCAGGCCGACCATTAGAACAGCTCTGCTGTTAATATAAACTGTGTCATGGTTTCATTCAGGTTGAAGGTTGTCAGAAAGATTACAACTTTGTGTGTTTACTAATGTGACAATGAGGATTCATGGTTCATGAAGGGCATGGGGATATACAGCATGTTATTTAAGAAAGCTCTATATCACTGAGTTTGACTTCGATTGTTTCTGGCCACCATTTCAGATCCGGCAAGCTACTGAAGCAGATCAGAGCCTGGACTGGAAAAAAGAACTTGCCTCCATCTATGAAGCTGCTAGACGGAAGCAAGGAAACCCCGCCGATCACATGGCATACAAGGATGTCCTTCGCATTACCAGCAGACGCGAGGAAGGTATGAGAGCTTACTATGTTCGCGCTTTTAATATAGCATTTGTTATGTTCCCACGGGTTACTCAATCGTGCCACTGTCGGCACCAGAATTTTACACGTTTAATGGGGGTTTTTACTGGCTCCGCAGCGGTGGTTTAGTGGCTAAGGTACTCGGCTGCTGACCCGCAGGTCGCGGGCTCAAATCCCGGCTGCGGCGGCTGCATCTCCGATAGAGGCAGAAATGTTGTAGGCCCATGGGCTCAGATTTGGGTGCACGTTAAAAAACCCCAGGTGGTCGAAATTTACGGAGCCCTCCACTACGGCGTCTCTCACAATCATATGGTGGTTTTGGGACGTTAATCCCCACATATCAATCCATAGGTGTTCTTACTGTGCAATTGAGCTAGAGAAGAAAAAAAAAGAGGTGTTGAAGTTGACTACCATAGTGTCAACATTGAAAGGGGTACTGAAGGCAAATATTAAGTAGCCGTTGATTCTTGAAACAGCAGTCCAGAAACCTTAATACCTCATTTACTCGCATAATCCTCACACTTTTTTTCCGCGGAAAACTGATGAAAGGTTGCGGGGTGCGAGAATTACATGAGGAAAATTTTGGGGGGAACAAAGTGGTCGCAAATTGGTATTCTCATGCTAGCAATTAACTACAAGCTTTGAGAAGTACTCACAAAGACTTACTTTAGCTATAAAACCACAGGTTCAATACAAGACAAAATTTATTTGAAGCACAAGAACTGCAAGCAAATGGTAGAGTTTTGGAATATTGTATGCAGAGCTTGCGAGCATAGTGATAGCATTCGTCCCGAAACCCGCAAAAGGTTAGCGTACGACGTCAGCCTTGGGATCATGGCCATCTGACATGCGATTGTCCGCAGTTATCTTCTGGCAAAAAGTTTTACCATCCATCCCAGTCTTGGGCACACGGAATGCCCAGCGCGCCTTGATGGCTTTCAGCTGGCCAAGCTGCCGCCGTCAGTAGCGAACACAAAACTCGTCACCTCCAAAGTGCCTACCGGTAGCCCTGCTGCTGTTGTTTAGTACATGATCAATCACTTCCAACTTGAAAGCAGCTGTGTAGCAGGTGTGCTTGGCGTTACCGTGCCATGCTTTTCTTCGGCAAAATAAATGCAACAACAAGAACAAAATACTTTTTTAAGTGCAGCCAGAAAATTGTGAGGGCGATTCTTGCTCATATTAAAAAAAAAAAAGCATGCACGCCCCGGAATCTCGCACGCTCTGCTGTCTGCTGCGTTCTCCGCTGCTGCCAAAATCCACAGTGAATGCCGGGTGTGCGTAGCGATACTCGTTAATTTCACTGGGGAGTGCGACGATTGGGACGGCCGGAGAGAAACACAGCGCGTGCGCTATCTCGGAGGTCATGGCAGAAAATTGCTCAGTGGCTGCTGTTGCTGCTGTGGTTCCTGCTACTTTCGCTCTCCTACTACTGTGTTGGTGGCCGTGCAGTAAAGGCGGGCAACGTTGGGCAAGGCATCAGTGGCGTGAGAATTAGCGCTTTCAGGCAGATGACTTGAAGCGCGCTGATGCGATGTGAACCGTTTAAACATGGTTTTATTTCAACATAAGCACTTTCTTGGCACAAAAGTAGCACTACAAGGTTTCTAGACCTCTTTCAACGTCAACTCAACATTTGCCTTTAGTGTCCCTCTAATTACTGGATTAGCTGAGCTCTGCTTTTGGTAAAACAGACATTTTAGATGTTCTTAGACCCTGAAGGTTAAGACTGACATAAATTGTTACTTGCCTTCAGTGTCCCTTAAAAGGAAAAAGACTAATTCAATATTACAAATTACTGATGTGACATTTCTGGGCTTTTCATTTTAACTTGTTTTATTGAGGGCCCCATACTTGAAACCTTGATAAAGTACTAGCATTACAATGAGCACTCTTAAGTAGCAGCATTTGCACACTGTTATTTTAGACTTAAGGGAAACTGTTGAAATGTCTGATACCTGTGTCATGCGGGCAGTTTTCGAAGCCCATCTAGTTTATTGCCATCAAAACACCACAGCTCATTTCACTCGATGCTACATGGCTCTTTTGAGGGGCCATAAGTGGTTGACCTGTTTCTTGCAAAAACTCTGTGGAGTTTCAGATATTTATTTTTGTATTCGTTGCACCTGAACCTAAATAATATAAGTTTACTTAAAAGGACAAATATGTCTGCTGTTTTTTATTTGTTGTTTAAACATTTCAATAGATTGTTTACTTCTAGTTATTAATACGTATTGAATTTCAAGTGGTTCAGCAGCGAAAGTGCCGCAAGCGATGCATGGCAAAATGTGATGACGACGATATTGCTGTTGTTAAAAGTATGTACAATTTTGCACATTGAATTATGTATGCGCATTACAGTGCAGTCCACTTATAACGATACCACATATAACGATATATCGGTTATAACGATGGGTCGACTTAACAGTCTCATTTCATGCATTGGGGCTATGGGGAAAAAAACCATATATAACGATATGTTATCCACCGCATATCGGATACAACGATGAAAAGTTTGCCGTGGACGGCATGTTTCATTCAGAATAATCGTAACAATTAAATTGATAAGTTCCTCTGAAACTAACTATGCCGAGACAAGACGAAAAGTTAGCGTAGGCGAGTACGTATCTGCCGCCACTGCAGCACAGCGCCGGCAGCGCGTCCCGGCCGTTCAAAAAGCCGAGGAGAGCATCGCGAGTTGGCGCGACGCGCTACAGATGGCGCGAGCTGTGTCACGTTTTGCGCCTCGCCGCGCGTCGACCGCGGAGAGGCTGAGAGAATTAAAAAAAAAAAAATGCGAAAAGCAAAGCGCCGCGGCGGCACCGGGGCGGGGCCTCGTTGGCATTCCGGCTGTGTACCTCTGGCTGTGCTTTCTTCCTCCCACTGCTCCCACCCCGCTGTCGGTCAGTCTCTCTTCCTCAGCGATCGCGCGAGCAACGTCTAGAGCGGAGCAGAGACAACAGGCGGCGGCGTTGTGCGACGGCAGCGACAGTAGTGATGAGGAGGTTGACAGCGCCTCTACGACCCCGTCGATGACGACGCAAGGTGCACTGATGTCTAGCGACTCCCTGATTGACTTTATGCACATCAAAGGAATGCCGCCAGAGTTTTCGCAGCAGCTGGAAGCTATGCGCACCGCGGTTGTGAAGCTGAAGCTTCCGCGGAAGCAACTGCAGATTTCGGACTACTTCGGCGTGCCGAACCCGTGATGCGTTCTTCGGAGTAAGAAATAAAGTCTTGTTTTTGACATCCTACTATCTACAATATTTATTAATTGGTGAAAATAGTGAAATGAAGCCTGGAGCTACAAAAGGTACGTCCGGCGACGATTTTTTGGCGGCAGTCCAGATATAACGATCACCGGTTATAACGATCATATTTTTAGGTTTTCTCGATATCGTTATAAGTGGACTGCACTGTACATGTGGGAAGTGTGCTTTACTAAATAATCAATGATGCTCAGAGCATATGGCTTTTAAAGCATAATCGTAAAGTTTTTCTTCTTCTAATCGTGACTATGAGCACGCTGTGGACAAGAAGTCATAATCGTCCTGCTTTCATTGCTCAGTGGCTATCGCAGTTTCGATAAAAATGTACACTGCTCCATTGGCCCAATAGACTATTGACACAATGGCCTTCGAAACACCCTTTGTTGCAGAGCGTGCTTGACCACAGAGTCAGTAGACTATCAGTTGCAAGGCCTTTAAACTGCTCATGTGACGTGCGTGTGAATGATTGATGTCCAAAGCATCATATTTAGCAGAAAGGCGCAGAAACGTGGCACTATGCACACGTAACAACATCCTGCCTATAAGCCAGTTGTGTTCCTGTTGAGTAGATATATTGTGACGTTATGATGCAGAAAAGGTCGTGTAGAAGCAGCTAAGTTTCTTTTCGGGCCAATCAACAAGTTGCTTCTTTAGCAGACTAGCAAGGAACTGAAAGTGAGGACCAAAGCATCAGAAATTTCTGCTCCCACATTTCATTTAAATGTCCCAACGATGCAGCGTGTGAATAAGAAACCAAACCTGATCCATAGAAAAGCTGCCGGATTAGCTTATACACTCAAGCTTTGATATAACGAAATACTGGTTATGACGAAGTAAATAAGAAATATTTTTCAAATAGGTAATCAACCTTTATTACGAATTTTTGGATGTAACAAGCTTATTTTCATGTAAGGTGCAACTTTGCTTTAATGAGATTTGAGAGTACGGTTAATCCAGTCCTGTGCTTGCTGCAGCCACGCTACCTCTGCTCGTGACAGTAAGGAGAGCTTACAAGTGAAACATGAAGTTGTCATTTTCTCGATCTTTTCATACAAAGGCCCGTCCTCACTCACTTCAGAGCTCCAGCACCCGCCGTTAGACGTCCAACAGTGAAGAGCATGCCGTGAGGCAAGGGTCGGCAAAAATCTAGTGGGGTGTTCGCACCAGTTGCCAGTTCGTCTTCGGTAGGAGCGGTGCAAACTCCGTGTACAAGCTCAGCTCTTTTTTGGTAGAGGAACGGTTAAGGACCAGCTTTTGGTGCCTCACTTAATGCTCTGCCCATGCATATCTGGATGGCTGACAGTGCAGAAAATATGCATATAAAGAAAAACATGCACAATAGACCTCTTCTTCGTCTGTGCAGTATCTGCGCTGTTAGCCATTGGCATGCACCGCCAGTTCGCCTGAGAATTGCTCTTCTATGCTTATTCCTGATTTCAACCTGATGCTTTGCCTTTTTGAAGTGACATCATCTCAAAGCTCGGAAGACCTTATCATGACTGAAGATGTTAGCAACACTCAATGGAAGGACCCAATCACCCAGAAGGACATCGAAGTGCCCGTGAAAAACACGAAGTGCGGCCACATTTATGACAAAATGAGCATCAGCATCTACATCAAACGCTCCAAACACCCCAGGTATGCCAGCCTCATCACTAGCGATGTGAAGCAGTACTGAGAAGTACACTTTATGGGGAAATGAAAAAGAAAAGTGATTTCATTTTTAATTTACTGCAATAACACTTTTGTAAACTACACTCAAACCTCAGTACAATGAACACGGATATGACAAAGTAAGTCAAGAATAGTCCGGTCATTTTTGCATCAAATGCGACTTCATTATTATGAGGCTCGAATGTAGTTTCGTTTCATTTCCCAGTGGGTGTATGGGTTGCGATGCCATAATACAGACAGTGGTCAAATGGGACCTTCTGCATACATATACTAGTTTGGGGGCTTGGGCATGAGTCCTTAAACATCATTTTGAAAGCCTATGCCAAAACACACATGCTCTCGCCAATAGTGTGCGCTCACAAAATGTAGTCAATTATGTAGGTTTGAAGCAAATAGTATTTTGGTCGAAAAATTTTGAGTCTAATTTGAATAATGTATATATCACACATTTTCAAGAAAGAGGGGCATATTTGTCATCACAAAACTAACCTGCACCATATTTTCTGAAAATTCAGACGAGGCCTGTGTAAATGCCTTTTTTTGCATCAAAAGAAGCGGAAACAACTTTTCATAGTAGCAGGATTTGAATGCAAGTGATGGCCTCTAAAGTATCTTATGTTTTAATATTTACTATACTTAAACATATAAGTCGGTAAAACAAGCTTTTAACTGAAAAACAAGAATGAATTGAGGTGAGGGTAATAACTTCATATTGCGTTGAAGTGGGGCTTCGCAGCAGTGTGAAATTCTACTGATAATGTGTTTTCACGGCTCAGCATCAGTTCACCGCAGTGAAGCCACTTTCACAAAAAGTTGCATGTGAATTAATATCCACTTGGATAGATGCTTTCTCTGCTTATCCCTACTCCACAGCAGTGAAACCACCTTTACAGGTTGTTGCATGCGAACTATTATGCATGTATCAGGGGTGCAACAGCTGCGCCAATTTGCTACAATTTTCCATTTTGGTGCTGAGCTGTGCTAAAACCATAAAATTTGCTGAAATTTCGCCACACTGCACCAAAAGGCTTGAGCAGCCTCAAAATTTAATCAGTTGCACTAATTTCCACAAGAAACGGTGGCCACGTCTGTAATCTGCAGTTTGCGGCATGAACAAACTCAAGCGCGCAGCCCCTAACCCTAAACCACGGTGTAAGATATATTCCCATTAGGTCAGGGCGCTGTTGACACACGGTCGACCAGATAAAGTAACAAAACCGCTCGCCATTGGTCTGCTGACCACTGCAGGTATCTATCGGTGGGACTTCGCAACTTGAAAACAAAAAAAAGACGTTTCCAAAGCCACCAACGCTTCACGATAAATAAGAACTTCCTAGTCGGGCAAACTTGACTATGGCATGTTAGCAACTAAATATGGAAGCGTACGCCACGTTACTCGCGGGTGGACACACTTGATGTGCTGCGAAAATCTGTCTTGCTGGTGACCACATTGGTTGCTATAGCAACGACGCTCAAAACATTTTACGGTCCTGAAGTTGCGTCGTCCCGGCGATAGATATCCGGTGCCATCGCCGGGCAAACAAGCATGCGCCGTTGTTATTTCATTTGGTCGAACGTGCCTTGCAAGCGAGCCAATTTGTTGTGCCCTAAACCTAATCCCATTGCAAAAACAAAACAGAAAGAAAAAATGAGGGCAGTTTCCCGAGTGGAAACACTGGTTAGCATGCGGAGCATATATGTTGAACTGCATAAATGTGGTTTGTAATTTGCGACATGCGTGTGTGTTATGAGTGAACATGAGTGAACACGCACGCACATATGCTGCGAAAGACTATGTTTATTGATGAGATGCTTTAGGTATTTTGAGCAAGATGGCTTTATGGTCCGTAAAGTGAAGGGTGAGTGGGTCTGGTTGCAGCGGTCGAAGGTCAAAATTTGCAAAGACGTGGTCGATGCACGTCCCGCGTACCGTGGTCGGATGATGTTTGCCGTCGTGCGTTGCTCGTTTCAGTGTGTGCCGCGACTCCATGTAGTCGACCACCCAATCGTCCTTGATGACGTCGGCATTGAAGTCGCCTACTATAGCGAAGAGTCGTTTCGTTAGCATACATTTTCACCAGCGACATCGAACGTGGAGCGACCACACAAACCAACCGATGAAGGGCGGCGCGCCCTGACACTCGGCTATTTATAGCGAGGGCCGGCCCCGGCCTGCGCGCGTTAGCATACAGCTGGCGCACGTAAAACTAAAGGTCGCGCGGCGCGCGGAGGGGAGAAGCGAGCGCAGCGCACGCTGTGTTGAGAGGAGGAAGGGTTGCACAGATGGCTGGCGGAGGAGGAGGGGGGCTGCGGATGGTGACGGCGCATGACTAGCCCCTAGTATGACATGCTCCGCATGTAAAAAGGGGAGGGGGGGACGTAGCGGTGTTTCACGACTCATTTCAACTCATGTAGAACGCTGCTTAATTCATCTTTGCCGCAGTAAATCGGTGCCTTGCAGATAAACGCGTTTTGATTTTGAAGGGGCTGTAAGCTATAATCACAGGACACAGCACATTTTGTTAAAAAACTCGTGTGTGTATATGGCACATGATTGCGAGTACTACTAGGATTGATGACGTCGAAAAAAGTTACTGGCAATAATTTGGAGCAGTGTATGACATTTCTGGCACCCTAAATAAAAAAAATGATGTGCCACTTTCTTTTTTACCACCCCTACGAATCCCTCGAATTTCAAACTCGCCAGCTTGGTAGATCCACTTTTAAATTCGCAGAGTTAGACACGGCAAATGCTAATGTGGATGTCAGCATTATTTGCTCAGTGGGGTGGTTCAAGATACTAGTTTTGTTGAGATAGCAGTGCTCTTACTCACACTGCACGATTTAGGGCGTATTGAGTGGTTTGTACATATATTTTTTTGCTAAATGAATGACTTCTTACTTATACTACTACAAGTTCGGTCTTTCGGATAAAAATGAATGTTTCCTTCCCTGTAACCTGCTCCGAATTCGGATTTTTGTGCTCCAAAAGTGACATTTTGCTGCTCCGAAAATTGGTCCAAATTCTATTTTGGCTGTTGTACCTTTGACATATTCGTTCTCAAATAATTTAAAATTTTCGATAATTTAAGTTCGATTTGAAGCCAATTCGAATGCTGCATTACTTGTTCAAAGAATTCGAATATTTACCCAAGCCTACAAATATGAAGTGCAGTGTAGAAACAAAAGTGTGTGGTACCCACTTCATGTGGTATAGACTATTTGTTGTTAACAGCACTAGGGAAACACAAGCCTCTCTCTTTTATTCTTTCTCCATATTTTCATGCCACTGTTTAGAATGAGGGATAAAGCGTGCAGCTTTCACCTTTCAGCTGTAAATCTTAACATAGGGTCATGCTGCGGCAACAGCTAAAGGGTGGTTGTTAAACAAATTATTGTGCACACTTTCGTTAAGGTAGTACCTCTTTGTTGCGATAGCACCTGTATGGACATTTGGGCGGGATTCCGTCATCTCCATCCTGTTGTGTAAAAAGTCTGAATCGATCATATGGCTCGGGCATCGTATGTCTCACACGGGAGTAGAAGCACGCGAGCGTTAGAGACGAATGCGGCTGTAGCAGAGATGACACAAGCCGGCCATTTCCATCGCAGGATGGGTGCACGTGATTACACCACTTGGCAAATGGCGCCTGCCGTCAATGGCTTTTCAAGGATAGGAGAAAGGGCAGGAAGGGTGGTTGTTGGAACGAAGGCTGTGTAACTTGAGCAGCGATTGTGCACGTGGCTCGTATATCCTTGTACATGCCCTGCTCTCACCGTTCACCTTTCATTGTGATGACAGACAGTACCAAAACTGGAGAAACCATATGCCTTTACATCAGGGTTTTGTAGAGTTACACAATATTGGTTTTAAAAGAGTCAGCTGCAAGCCCTACTTCGTACTATAACATTCCAAATTGTTGTGGTCCCACTCATTCATTCGCCCTGTAATTTTCTGTGGTGTTGATATGGAGGGACACTATCTCAATCAATTTACTATTGTGGCCACACATAATTCCTGCACTCTATCTGCACCGAAAAGGAATAGTACTGCACTTTGATATTCATTTTTTTTTGCCTGCACATGTCACGCATCTGCTGCTCATGGGTCCTCACCACTGTAACTGTAGCCGCTGCTTAGACTAATTCAGTCACGTGTTTATACTGTTGCGTGTAGCTTAAGCGCAAGTCTTTTTTCAGTGTAGTATTCACACTCAAGCAGAGGTGGCCAAGATGGCAACTGTCTTGCACTATAAATCATATTGTCTTGCAGCCTATGGTGGCTGCTCCATATTGTGACCCTCAGAACTAAAAGCACTGCTTTGGTGTTGTCTACACACTGTCTTGTGATGCAACAGTTACCGGAGCCAGAATGGCGATCAGCCATAAAGAGACTTAATGCTGTGGCTCTCAACTTAGTCAACATGTCTGCGCATCTTACACGTACAGCGTTCAAACGACCTCAAGTTACATTATGGCATGTCGTCGATTGGTTGGAGTACACACGTTTTCGGTTGGTTGTTGCACCTAGCTGAAAATGGCAGGGCGTTTTTCAGTACCAACAGAGCTCCCAAGCAGTGATGTAGTGTAGCATGGAGTGAGCAAGACCAGGCCAAATGAAATGACAGCTCACGTGGGCGTATGCACTTGAAACACCTCAGTGCTCAGCAGTGATGAGGTGGAAAAATTCATTGTCATGAAGGTAAAAGCTACGGTGGTATACAACTGAAACATTTATTTTATGAATATTGGTTATAATGAAGTGAAGAATTTTCGTGCAATAGTGTTAGGGTTCAGAATATACATTTATAACAAACTTTTGGATATAACGAACTGCAAAAACGCTTTTGGATGCCCAGGTAAGGCAATCGTTTTATGTGCCGTACAGCAACGATTCAGCATAACATAACTTTATTTTCCTTAAAAACACCTCAGGGGGGTATTAAATAAGAGGTGGTTTAATG